GTCACAATTAGAATTAATTGGAAATGAATTATTAAAACGTGGTCACGGTTTATCTAAAACAAGGAAACAAATTAGCTTAACATGGTCATGATTTACTAAAACAAGGGAACACATTAGAGCCCAACCGATAAAGGATTTTGAAGGCCGATACCGATACAAATATTTGTTGCTTTGGTAACACTTTACAATAAGGTTCATTAGTTAACATTAGTAAATGCATTAACTAACATGAACTAACGATGAGCAATGCATTAGTTACAGTGTTTATTAATCTTTGTTAATGTTAGTTAATACAAATACAGCTGTTCATTGTGTGTTCATGTTAGTTCACAGTCCATTAACTAATGTTAACTAATACAACCTTTGATTTTAATAACGTATTAGTAAATGTTGGAATTAATATTAACTAAGATTAATAAATGCTGAAGAAGTATTGTTCACATATTGTACATGTTAACTAATGTAGTTAACTAATGTTAACTAATAAACCTTATTGTAAAGTGTTACCGTTGGTTTTAAAATCCAATATTCCGATATATCGGACAATATCTATATATATATATATATATATATGTATTTTTTAGAAACGCGCAACAAAACATTAACAGATTTCCCTAACATTAGTTATTTGTAGTTATTTATGAGTTTTAACTAAATTTGCCATAAATAAGCCATAATTTAGTAATGGATAACGTGATACTGCAAATTGTAAAACATACATTTTCAATATAACAGGCCAAGGAGAGATGATTCGTCTCATTGCTATAACTGTCACACGCTATTAAAGAAATTCTTCAGTCACATTGTCCAAAGTTAAAAGGACAGTCAGTTAACTACATGTAACAACGTAACGTCACTATTATTAGCTAATTCCGCTTCACTCTCGGCTTGTTTAACAGCAGCAAAACTGGACATTATAGTCACAAATTTGTCATGCTTATTTGAGTTAAGAGAACTGATGGGGATGTTCTTTTAATTTTTATTCAAGCAATGTATGTCTCGTGACCAACTCAACGAGTGTTGCCAACAGGGACGGTGTAGAGTGCCCTCTAATGGACAAGCTATACAACTCCAATACTCACAGTTTGTTTCGTCTGTTTTTATTTTATTTTTGAAATGAAGAGTTCAGATGCAAAAGCCTCTAAATGCCATTTGAAATTTTCTTCTTTACTGATGATTTTTATCAAACTTGTATATTTAAGTTCAGTAATTTCACTTAAATAACAATTAATAGGTAATTATCATTGCCATTTAAGGGAAATCACTGAACTTAAATATACAAGCTTGATAAAAATTATCATTCTAGAAGAAAATTTCAAATGGCACTTAGAGGCTTTTGCATCTGAACTCTTCAAATATTCATTTATCGGCCATTATAACTGCCGATACAGATAGTTTGGAAAATGCCTAATATCGGCAGATAATATCAGCCTGCCGATAAATCGGTCTGGCTCTAAAACACATTAGTACAATTTGTGGCCTTAATATATGTTTTTTGGACTCTATCAACATAAAGGTTTAAATCATAAAATTGAGATATTCTTTTTGCTGCCCTCCTTCAGAAACAATAATTAGAGCCGTGCTGATATTTGCTGAGGGGATTTTTGAAGGTGAGAGTCACGTGGTTCACCCTAGCGCTCAAAATCTCTCTGGCTGTGTCCGTGTCCCCATCATTCCTCCAAAAGACATTCCAGTTGACCTTCACATCAAAGCCTTTGTGGGAGGAAAGACAAGGTACACAAAAGTGGAATATCATCATGATGATTGCCAAACTTCATTATTTGGATTACATTTTGAGGTTTATTTTAAGTAGTTATTTTAAGTTTAAAATTAAGGTATTATTAAAAAAATATGGTGGATGAATTCCAAAGAAATCTCATGATAATGCATTTTTCTGTTCTTCTTCCCCATTTACAGTACACAGTTCCACGTATTTGAAATCACACGTCAGCTGCCTCGCTTCTCGATGTATGACCTTAGCGTTGACTCCTCAGCCACAGAACCCACAGGAAAAGTCACATTCAACATCAATGACAGACCTCAGAGGGTACGGGGACACACTCACTCAAAATGGAACTGTGTGTGCATTTGTTATATTATCATAGTGCTGATGAAATATGAGGCATGCATCTACTGTATGTCTGCAGGTAGTCATGTGGCTAAACCAGAACTTTCTGCTGTCCGAGGGCATTGACAGTCCAGACATCACCTTCACCGCACTGCGTGGAGGAGGTCTCCTGAGAATCAACATGCAGCATAGTGGAGAGGTGCTTTTATTGTGTGTTTGCCAGTATTTGTTAGCTACTTACTCAAACAAAAATCTCTAACTTAGTTCTGCCTCATCAGATCACGTTGAGAACAGATGACATTGATCTGGCAGGAGATCTGATCCAGTCGCTTGCTTCTTTTCTGGCCATTGAAGACTTACAGGCTGAAGCTGACTTCCCGGTCTACTTCAAAGAGCTACGAACTACTCTCACTGAGGTGAAGAAATGCAACATCACCTTTAAGATAAACTTTTTTAAAAGTCTTTTAGCTGCAAAAATCCTTTATGTTTGTGTCAGGTGGATGATTTTCACTCAGTGCATCAAAAGCTCACAGCGGCAATGGCAGATCATTCCAACTACGTAAGAAATATGCTGGTCCAGGCAGAAGATGCCAGACTCATGGGTGATTGGTGAGCAGCTTTGTTTGATTGATCAGTCCTCTCTCTTTCTCAAAGACATTTACTCACAGAAATGATATTCTGTTTTTTAGGAGAAACATGAAGAAACGCTACATTGAGCTGTATGACCTCAACAGAGATTTGATTAATGAATATAAAATCAGGTCTAATAATCACAATGCCCTCCTCGCACGGCTGAAGTCAGTTAACCAGGCCATCCAAAGGGCAGGGAGATTGAGAGGTGGGTGGATTTTACTAAGAAAACAGTTAATGAGTATTCATAGTTTTCACTTGACGTCACATTGTATAGGAACGCCCACCTGGAGTGCAAAACAAGATTTTTCTTGTTTCCTGTTCACACTGGGACGAATTTCGTGCGCGTTATTCGCTGACGTTTAAAAGCATTGTGACTAAACAAAGGGCGCCAATGTGAGTGTGCACACCGACACGTAAAAGCGTCATTTAAAAAAAAAAAAAAAGTCGCCGTCTACACCATAGATATGTATATAAAGGCTAGATGTGTTACGGCGGAGTTTCTATCGTCATCACCGGCGGGCGGCCATCTTATCACAGACAAGCTGATGTAAGATGAGTGGTCAGCATGAACACAAATACTCTTATCTCGTTAAAATCTTGACGGATTTACAAACGGTTTGGTTTCTTACAAACGTTATTAATGTGGCTATAATTATCTGGATGATTATTTATTTATACACTTATTATTCATAAGTATGCAGTGTCATAGCTACATCTCTGACGTTTATAACAAAGCAAACCGTTTGAAAATCGGTAGAAAATTGAGCAAGTTATGGACGGTCATTTAAATAGTACATGTACCATTACCACAATGTTACGAGTGAGCGAGCTGCCTGTGACAAGATGGCCGCCAGGTGCAGACGATGACCTCCATTGGCCAGCAGCGCTGACGACACATCTAGCCTTTATACATATCTATGGTCTACACAGCCAGGAAGAAATAAGACGAGGAAGATGAAGGCAAGAGGAATGTTCTCGTTGGTGCTAGAACATAAAGAACTATATGACAAACGCGACAGCGACTACAAACATCTTGATAAAAGAAAACTGATATGGAGTGGTATTGCAGAGCAAATTGGCGCCATCTAATGTCAGAGAATGAATTTGCATGTTCACTCAGCTCATCGTCAGCGAAAATCGCTTGGGTGTGAACACAAAAAACGCGTTGAAAAACGCTAACGAATAACGCGCGCTGATATTCGTCCCGGTGTGTACGGGCCTCTATACTACTAATGTACTAATACAGTGAATTTTCCCATATAAAACCTTTTTTAAGTAAAACTTAACTTGAAATGTAGCATGTTTGCCTATAGTATGCATCATCAATGAGATACTGAATTTGATCTTTTGATAAGAATATTAAGCGTTTTAGAATTTCCCGCTATTTTTCATGATTGAAATACTGGTGTTTTATATGGATTACAAGTGCCCCAAACTTGCAGTTTGTTCAAATATCTTTTCTTTTGAGAAGTCATCTAAATATTTAGTTTGAAACGGATGGAAAATAGACAGGATTGTGCTGCAGTTCTATGGATGGTTTGCCTCCCAGATGGCAATCATATGACTAAAAACTACAAATAGCTTAAATGGTCTCAGCTCGCTCATTAGTTGTTTTTTCAGTTGTTATAATTAATTAATTTCCAATTATGCTTTTCAGTGGGAAAACCTAAAACTCAGGTTATCACTGCCTGTCGAGATGCCATCAAGAACAACAACATCAATGCTCTTTTCAAGATCATGAGAGCAGGAACTACTTCCTCCTGAGAAACATCTGGTCCAAAATGACCTTAAAGTGCAGAAGTCTGGAAGATCAGACCACATTCCTGGGGGAGACCCCCCAAAACAGGCTCAGAAAGGGCCCAGTAGCCTGCTGGGAAATGAAATGGCCTGCATGAGTGGATATATTTTGAATCCTGCCTTCACTGGCTGCAGTTTTGTTTTAGAGGAGTAACTGGGTTGGTCTGTCTGTAACTGTAAAGTCTTAGCCAAAACATGATAGCCAAAGAGACTGTATTTTGTGTACCAAGTCAATGTATTTGTAAATCGGCTGGTTTTATCTGTATTCAAAAAGGTTAATAAATTATTAAATATAAATGTAAATGTATCGGTTTTCTTTCTATCTGTGTTTTTAAACTGTTGAATCTAGTAATCGGGAATTATTCCCCTTAATTCATAATTCTCTTGCGCGTTCTCGCTTCCCTGTCCTCGCTCCCGGCTCGCGAGGAGCTGCTGCGCTGGCATCTGGCGCGCGCGATGCGCCCATGCATCCAACAAGCTTCGAGCTGTCACGTGATCAATGAAAGAACTTTAAAAATGTGCAAGAAGTCTTCATCTTGTAACTGGTGTACCTTCTTGCGAACACAATTGATGCGTACAGAGATGTTTTTAATAACCTAGCGTATATCAGCGAGTTGGAAAAGTTTTTTTTTTTTCTGAAACATGCAAAAGTCCCAGCTTTAGTGGAAGCAGATGTTTGGATCTGGTTGCAGTTCTGTCTTGTCATTGCTCTCCTGGTACGCCGTCATCTGGGTAAGTTTTGTAAATGTATGTTTGAAACAAAGAAAGACAGTTATAAAGAAGGCTGAACGCGAAAATATAATTGAAAAAGAAAGCAACTTGAAATGTTGACGCATTATAATAACGATCTTGAAGGGTCATAATAATTAATCGCTCTTGGCAGTGTTTAGCACATTTTAAAATATTGCAACCAGAATGCAATTGTATTTAGAGTTTCATTTCTAAATTTCAAATGTTTAATTTACACGGGTTTGTTTATATGTCTGTGGGGTGACGCGTTTGTTTTTGAATGAATATTTTAAGCAAACTAATTTGTCGCGTGCACAGATTCAAATGCGAGTCGCTGTTTTCGAAGCTCAGCGTGTCAGTGAATAACGTCGCTCGTTAACGAACTGAACCAGATCTTGTTCGTTAAAACTTTAATAAGCAGTTGTAGAACAAACACAGTAGGGCTACAGGGTTGTCATATGAGTGGGGAAATAAATGCTTAGAAGTTAGAAACACTCTTTCAGGAGACTTGTAGGCACTCAACTCGGCTTGGTGTTTCTAACGAATCAATTGACTAATGGTTCAATGACTCAAAACTCATACTTACGATGTAGTTACAGAATGTACAATTGAGCTAATAATTTTAGTGAACATATTTGAGGAATGAAGTAATATTTACATCTCTTAAAATGTCATTATGTGGTGTTGACAAATTATATTGATAAATGTATACGCATTTTAAACTGACCGATGACTTGGGAAAAGCAACTGTATTTAGGATTTCTGTGAATAACACATGAAAGAGGCATTTAAACTCTTTCAATTGTTTCAATATACATATATATATATATATATATATATATATATATATATATATATATATATATATATATATATATATATATATATTACTTTGAAGTGCCAGAAAAGATTTTTAAGTTCCAAAATTGGTCAGATGTGTTTCCTGCCATAAATTGGTTGTGTATCCTGTTTCATAAGTATGCTGGTCCTGGCCGTTTATGAAGCATAACTCTGGTCAAGTAATATCCTGTGTCTCCTTTTGTTTGATGACATCCAGGATGCTGTGGTAAGAAGTAAATGTGATGCCTCTCAAAGACATATCAATAGGAAATTGGTTTTACGGACATGATTAGCATAACTGCAGATTTAGTTGTGTGTTTTAAAAGGTTAAATGTAGCATGTATTTTATTTTTAGGAGGAAAATACAACCTAAATGATGATTTTCAAGCAGTTATTGTGCATTTATTTGAACTGACTTTTGTTCATGCGTTTATTTAGCAGAACCTACTACGGCTGTGAGAAAATCTGAACACTTTAAGAAGAACATGACTTCTACTGAATTTCATGGGGATATAACGGTCACACCATGAGAAGGGTCTATATAAAGGGAGATATACTTTGCTCCCTAATTCTGCTGGTGCTGCTATTTCTGCTGTTATATGCCCATCAAAGTATGACACCCGTATGGGGGACATTGCACATTCAACATGGATCCACCAGCTCAAGAACCCTCCTCAGTGGAGCACCAAAGGGACTGGAAACAACGTCGTTCCCTTCAAAATCTCCAGACAAACCTCCTTGTAAGCCTGAGGTTCACAGCAAGCCTAAAGCACAAAGACCATCAAAGGTCAAATCTCAGAAAGCAAAGTCTAAAATTCTCCAACCCTCAACGACAGCAAGTCTGCTACCAACACATGCTTCCTTTGACTTTCACGATTACCTTCGAAAAAAAGACCAACGGGACTTCAAGCTGCTAATCGATCAGCCTACAAAGTGCTCTGGACCAGAAGGAGCGCCCTACATGCTGATCGCCATAAAATCAGTAGCAACGGACTTCGACAAACGTCAAGTCGTTCGACGCACATGGGGACGAGAAGGTGTTTTCCCGAAAGATGTGAACGTGAGGAGAGTTTTTCTTCTCGGTGTACCCCAAAATCAAACAGTGCTTCCATTATGGGACAAACTTTTGGGATATGAGAGCCACACTTTTCATGACATCCTCCTGTGGGACTTTGAAGACACATTCTTTAACTTGACACTAAAAGAAATCCACTTCCTACAGTGGATCAATGTCAGCTGTCCCAAAGCAAAGTTTATTTTTAAGGGTGACGCAGATGTATACGTAAACATCGACAATATCCTGGAGATGCTCGAGGGTCAAGAGATCGATAAGGATCTTTTTGTCGGCGACATCATTGTCCGCGCAAGACCAATTCGCAGGCGCAACAGTAAGTACTTCATCCCCGAGTTTATTTACGGCCAGGGGATCTACCCGTCCTATGCTGGCGGAGGTGGCTTTGTCATGTCGGGACATACCGCATTGAAGCTCCACCTCGCCTGCAAAGAGGTGGAACTCTTCCCCATTGATGATGTCTTTCTGGGCATGTGTCTGCTGAGGATCGACCTTCAGCCGACTCGACACGAAGGCTTCCGCACCTTTGGAATTGTGAGACCGTCCGCTGCCCCTCACCTCCAGGTCTTTGACCCCTGCTTCTACAGAGAGCTGATGGTGGTGCACAGCTTGACCGTCCCACAGATCTGGCTCATGTGGAACCTTCTGCATGACCCTAACCTTCAGTGTCACAGCAGTCAGGATCCTACGGGTTTGCCCTTTCAATGGAGTGACGAGATGACTGCTAAGAACAAGGCAAAGGAGAAGCTTAGGAACAACGACTATGGGTTAAAAGTGTTTGTGGAGCACTAACTCCTAAAATGACTGTGAAACTAAAACATGAAACGGATAGGGAATACGTGACCCTGGACTACAAAACCAGTCAAATAGACACATTTTCTGAAATTAAGATTTATACATAATCTGAAATCTGAATAAATAAGATTTCCAATTTCAATTTAATGATATGCTAAAGCCCGCCCACATGTTGACACGTAGTTTGTAAAGTATGTGTCTTTTTTCCACTGCCGAAAATACTCAGCAATGGTGTTGACATGAATTTGCACATGGTTTGTCTTAAAGCATATTAAAAACGCCACATAGACCTATAAACAACATTCAAACATTTATTTTCACCACAGGGGTCTTTAACTAAATTAAAATGAGGGAATGAATCAGTACATCATGGGCATGATTCACCTAAAATGATGAACTCAATTAAGTTGTGGGAATGAATTCTTAATTCGTGGCCTTGATATCTGTTTTTATATCTCCATTTATATGACTTCCTTTGATTGTTTTTTTGAACATGCTGCTCTTTTCCAATAAGAAAACATACAATGACCATCAAATATCTGTCCTGCTCCAAAGTACAACTCATAAAGCTATATTCCAAATGCTCTGAAGCCATTTGATAGCTTTGTGTGAGAAATTTAAGTCATTATTCACTGAAAATCACCTGTAGTGATCTGCATTGACATATCTGAACATTTCAAGGTTGCAACAAGATGACTAAATTGTTATTTTTGACTGTTGATTGCTCAAATATAAAATCTAAGAAAAAAGGTCCACAAAACCATCTGTATTCAGCTCAAACTATTCTCTATTTTTTTTTTGGAAATTACTGTAGAGTTTGTCTATATTATAAAGATGTTGTACAGGAAGTGTAAGGGAATCGCAAAAAAATGGACACTAATGGTATGCTTTGAAAAGTAAGTTACTGAGTTATGTAATATAGAACAGAATATTAAAGGAGAAGTTAACTTTTAAGAAAACTTTTGCTGATAATTTACTCACCCCCATGTCATCCAAGATGTCCATGTCATTCTTTCTTCAGTCGAAAAGAAATGAAGGTTTTTGATGAAAATGTTCCAGGATTTTTCTCCATATAATCCACTTTACTGGTAACCAAACGGTTAAGTTTTATAAGCTCAAAGGTCGCCTTGATTTGTTCTGTGATGCGCGTTTGTGACTCCTGTTTGAAGTCGTTCTTCAAAATCAGGGTTCAAACTGGGTCGTGGAGGGCCGCTGTCCTGCAGAGTTTAGCTCCAGCCCTGATCAAACACACCTGAGCTAGCTAATCAAGGTCTTCAGGATCACAAGAAAGTCACAGGTAAGTGTGTTTCATCAGGGTTTGAGCTAAACTCTGCAGGACAGCGGCCCTCCAGGACCGAGTTTGAGAAACCCTGATCAAAATGAACAAATCCTTTCCCAAGTCAACTCATTAATTTTGTTCATTGAATGAACTAAATGACACGGAAAAAGATTTGTTCATTTTGATAAACGAGTTCGAACAGGGGAGTCACAAACACGCTTCACAGAACAGAGCAAGGCGAGCATTTGTGCTTATAAAACTTAAACTTTGTTATTTTTTTTTTAATTGAGCGATCGTTTCACTTGATAAGACCCTTATTCATCGTCTGAAATCGTTTAAAGCCCTTTGAACAGTTTGTAGTTTGCACTGAAACTGTCTTTTTGACCTTGAACCATTTGGGTCCCATTGAAGTCCATTAAATGGAGAAAAAACCTTAATTTCTTTTAGACCGAAGAAAGAATGACATGGATATCTTGGATGACATGGGGGTGAGCAAATTATCAGCAAAAGTGTTTTTTTAAGTGAACTACTCCTTTAACTGTATACATATCATTTATTAGACAAATGGCACCACTTTTTTTTCTTTGATTAGTGTGCTGCATTGTTTTAGATGACCTGCTGTCTTTTAGATTTACATTAAACTCAACTGAATGATTCTGAAAGTAGCCTGCTGTGAACATGAAAATTGAGTGAATATTTTTTTTTTTAACAAAAAACAAAAGATGCCTCCGTTCTTTCCCCCCATATTTATTACATCCATTCTTTAAATATTTTTGTAGAACACACTGTAACAGTTTTAATGAACAAAATGCAAAATTAGCAGTTTAAAAAAATCATAACGCTTTCAGTAGATCCAATGGTCACAGCATTGTTGCCCCACTCGGAGCTTTTGACAAACCAGACCATTCCAATTTATACTCCATCAACGCAATGATTATTGCTTTGAAAACATAACAAAAAGAAACAAACAACAAAAATTGCCTGATAAATGTTGATATTCCGTGTACATGTTCCTTAATCCTACAGAAGTAAAAATATCTGTGATACAAAACACCACATAGCAATCAATTTAGATACACACTTTTTTTAATCGAGGATAAATCCCACTTCCAGAAATGGGTTAAATGTACTAAATCCACAAAAAATAATCACTTTTTGGAGGATGGGGAAGAACATACAATATAGAGGAATACAATACATAGCATTAATATGCGCATTACACTATGGAGTTTATCCATTTCTAATTACAATCCTCAGGATGATCATTCATTCATTCATTCCGATGCAAAAATAGGATAAAGTCTGAAGAAGAAACGTTACAGCCAAAACCCATTAGATGAAAAGCATTCACTTGCTCCTGGCATTAAAAAAAAAAAACATCCACCTGAGTTCGGGCAGGCAATCAGCCCATCAGACCGCATTCCCACAATCCCTAAATGACAATAAAACAGCGGTTGTGTTGTTCCTTATGGACGACGGAGATTCTAATTGTGCATCTAAACAGTTTGCTTTTAAGATCTAACCATATTAAAATAGAACTCCACATCCGTTTCAAAAAGTACAAATCGTATTGAGACAGAAACACCACAACCACTTTGTGAACTTCAGATCATGAAGGGCAACCTCCATTTTCTGTTTTTGTACGCAGACTGCAATAATCAATTTAAATACACTGAACACAGTAAACTAGCGCTTCATGAAAAGAGTTCAATACCCAACGAGACGTTTTTTTTTTTTCTTCCTCTAATATTCAGGTACGTTTTCGGATGACTATGACTATTCACTTAGCTTTACATGCTCAGACATACACAAAGCAGTTCAAAACAATTTCATTTACAGAGAAAAAAAAGTCAAGACAGGCTCGGTGGGAGATGAGGCACAATGTTAAAAGCATCTTCCTTGTAAAAGACCAAAAGTTAAGGGTAAAATATATTAAAAACACCACTAACGGTCTTCCAGCGGAGTTAATGTAACAAAGCTGAATGCCCGAATTAGCCTGAACCACACACTGCAGGAGCCTGAAGGGAGGTTGGAATGACACCAGAGGTGTGGGGCTTGTCAGCCATTGGTGGAAGCAAAGCAATGAACAGTAGTTAGAGGTGATCAGACCATCTACTGAAGTTAAAATGCTCTAGTCTTCTCCGAAAGTGGCATCTAGGACAACACTCGAGGGAAGCCGCTATATTGTCCCTCTCAAAATGTTAGCAGTCTGGGGACTTCCAAACATCAGCTGATCTGAAACGGTACCATTGGGGCAACAAAACAATGAAAATTCTGCACGCTATTTACAGATCTGTACAGACATGGACACACCGTGCTTGAGAAAGCATCACATCTACTTGCTATGGAAACAACATCAACAAATCTGAAGAGAGAAAGCAGCATTAATAAATCGATGGGAGTTGCTATGCTAAAAACAATTCAGAGACTTAATAGATCAAATCAAAAGGGAATGTTCTTACACTATGGGTATTAAAAATGTCAAAGACCTAACTGTTTCTTCTTTGGCTAATGATTTGGCAATCAGGTGACAGAACAGTTCTGCGGTTAAGACTTGTAAGATACTGAACAAGGGAAAATTCACATCTTTCAACTCGGGAAACAAAATAAAAATACGCAAGCGGAATTAACAGTGGGAAAAAGAAACAGCGATGGGTGGATGGCTTTTCTCTCCGGTCTGGGTTGCAGCTAGATTGCACATCGTCGTTCCCTCCCCCGCCGTTCTTTCACTCGGAGACTCGCAATTAAAACGTTCCTCAGTGGACAGGAGACAATTATCAAGTAAATTAGGTGTATTTTAGTGCAAATGTTCAAAACTAATGAGCTCATGAACAACAAGACAATAACGGAATCAACATAAGCGGGTGTAGGGTATTGAAATGGGAGGTAATCTGTGCTGCTGACTTGGTATGAAATGGGTTTCTGAATCGTTATGTGTGCCACAAGAACATTTTCACAGCACTGGATCCACACTGTGCAAGCTTGTGCTTGTAACCTTACGTAAATGCATACAAAACACTCTCGTTGAATTTACGCGGCAAAAGTTTGTCCTCATTCGACTTTGTTCTCATCCTCTGCGCGTAGGAAAGCAAATGAACCTGAACGCGCGTGTGTTTTTCGTTAAAGTGTTTAGCGTGCAGAGGAGAAATCGGTTCAATGTTCGCCCTTTGGTGCGTCTGGTGTGGAAATTTTTATGAGGTTGGGCAAAAACAAAAAAGAAATGCTTGTGTGGAAATGAATCACTGTGCATCCACAAGTACTATAACGATGCTGACGTTGATGCATGTCTGGGTTAAAGCTTTGGGGGCAGAGCCAGGTTTGCATGGTTATCTGAGATTATTAGCAGGCTCCATGCTATTATTGAGGAGACCGAATTGAGGGGGGGAAGAGTTTAACTCCAGAGAAACTCCCAGCATGTCTTGCTTTAGCTTGTGTGATGGCAGCAGTGAGTGAAGGCACACTCTACTGGTCAGTTCAGAGGCTCTGCAGGGCTGGACGGGCACCGTGGGCATGGCGGATTCCTCAGTGGGCACTGGGCTCGGCACGGGCCAGGCTACTTGGACGAGGCGCTCCGTAGAGAGTCACAGAAGCTATGTGGTTATTCTGCATGACCTGTAACAACAGCAATGATCCAATAAGTGCTTAGCTTTGTATGAGCTATGGTTATAGACTATGAAAAAGAATATGATTAACCAAACAGTTGATGGACCTTATTGACTTCCATAATATAAAAAATAAAAAGTCAATGGGGCACATCAACTGAGGTTTAGAACAACTTGAGGGTGTTGTTGCGGCATCATCCAAAATTTTAATATCAGTACATTCTTTATATAAGCAAATGATACTTTCACTGCACTGTAAACGTGAAAAAAGAAATCTGCCATTTATTTGTAAAATTAATATCTTTATTTATTTTTAAAAGCAAGTAAAACAAACAGTACACATACCTCAAATATCATTCTCTGCAGTCCAAAACAAAATGTGGAGCCAAAAGGGTTGGTGTTGTTTGCAGAGGATGACCTGCAGAGCAGTGCACGATTAATCCATTAATCAGAGCATTATAAACACGTTTTCATATGCAGCGGTGGCTCTGTGCTGTAGCTTGCATTAAAGGAGTAGTTCACTTTAAAAAAAAACTTTTGCTGATAATTTACTCACCCCCCCTGTCATCCAAGATGTCCATGTCATTCTTTCTTCAGTCGAAAAGAAATTTTGGATGAAAACATTCCAGGATTTTTCTCCATATAATGGACTTCAATGGGAACCAAACGGTTCAAGGTAAAAAAGACAGTTTCAGTGCAAACTGCAAACGGTTCAAAGGGCTTTAAACGATTCCAGACTATGAATAAGGGTCTTATCAAGGGAAACGATCACTCATTTAAAAAAAAAAAAAAAAAAAAAAAAGTTTAAGTTTTATAAGCTTAAATGGTCACCATTTGTGACTCTCCTATTCGAACTTTTTATCTGAGTCAACTCGTTCATTGAATGAACCAAATTACACGAAAAAATATTTGTTCATTTTGATGAACGAGTTCGAACAGGAGAGTCTTGAATACACATCACAGAACAGAGCAAGGTGACCATTTGAGCTTAAAAAATTTAAACTTTGTTTTTTTTTTTTTTTTTTAAATGAGAGATCGTTTCGCTTGATAAGACCCTTATTCATCGTCTGGAATCGTTTAAAGCCCTTTGAACAGTTTGCACTGAAACGGTCTTTTGGACCTTGAACCGTTTAGTTCCCATTGAAGTCCATTATATGGAGAAAAATCCTGGAATGTTTTCATCAAAAACCTTAATTTCTTTTTGACTGAAGAAAGAATGACATGGACATCTTGGATGACATGGGGGTGAGCAAATTATCAGCAAAAGTTTTTTGAAAAGTGAACTACTCCTTTTAAGCATGTGAATGACCTCTGACTTTTTTTGTTTAACTTCAGGCAGTGTTGTTATGTTAAAATAAAACTATTAAAATAGTTTTTTCAATTAAAGTAATGGTGAAATATAAAAAGTTACTCTTTATTTCTATATATACACACTATGAGTACATTCTACTAACTATAAGTAACTTTGCAACTACATATCAACTAACTTTCATTAACTAGCTCAAGTATTAATAGGCTGTTTGGTTAAGGTTAATAAAATAAGCAGACATCTAGTTGCCAAGTTAATGTCTGTTGGAGGACCATCAAAATAAAGTTTCTGCAGATATTAAGCAGACGGTTTACTAATACTCTAATGACTGTAGTTGTGGAGTTACATCACCGGTATCGGCCATTAAAAGCAATTATTTTCACTATCGGCCAATTGTGGGGGCCAATTATATCCTGTCAATCAATAGGAGGCGGAAAACATGTCAGACTGATTACCAGACTGCATACTGTGTGTGAAGAAAATGTCTCCTGAGTTGAATTTAGGGCAATAATGTCGGGCAATAATAGTGACGTTAAAGCAGGCTCTATTTGACCCTATGAATCAAGTCAGGGTTGCCAGGTCCGAGATTTTTTTCCTACATCAAATATTATTTGTAGCTCGCCTCACATCCAACAAAGCTTTGTTACTTCTGCTAAGAAACAAAGTCTCAGCTTTCAAATTCTGTCGATTTGATTATGAAATTCAAACAATAAAAGGTGTTTTGATGCTCTTGAATGTGACATAACAGATCGCTGTAGTGCCTCAGTTCAAGCGGCCATTTTAATACAAGTTATAGCACATGAACATACATAAACATTAAAAGGTATGTTAAGATATAGTAAAACTTACTGAACTGCATCATGTAATCGCTCAGTGTTTCAGCCATGGAAGGCATTAATAAAACAGTTTGTACTGTTGGTGTATATGTGGCTAAAATAAACATTTCTCACCTGTGTAGCACAACTGGTTTTTCCATGGGGTGTCCTAACAGCTCCTGAATCTGATCCCACTGAGTGCAAAGGTTGAAAACATCATAAGTACCCACTTAAAAATGTTTAATTATTTATCGCATACGATACTACATAACATCTAATGAATGTGTATATAATTTATTATATAAAGAATGTGTAGGCTAAACACGGCCTATGAACTCACTTTGCTGTAAGTGGTCAGAATGCAGTCCTCACTCTGAGCGTCTGCCCCATCTGAAACAGAATATAAAGAATGAGACAAAAGATTACAGAGACACAACAGAGAATTATGATCTAGTCCAGAGAGTCTGATATAGACTAACCTTTTTTAATGACAAGAGGAATCTTGAAATCACACCGATGATATCTGAGATGGACACACACATAAAGTGTGTAAATAAAGTGGTATGCGATACTGAAACCACACATTTCTAAACACTTGAAGACTAATTTTCAATCAATACATCCAAACCTACTAGACCTTTCCAATGCAATACAACAAAGAAATAAGACTTACATGTTAAAATTGTAATGGCCAGGGAAGTTGGTATGAAGGACAAATTTTTTGACCAGGTGGGTTGAAGAGTCAAATAGTATATCCTGAAAGATATATAGAGACATAATGCTCAAAGCTCAATGACTTTCAGCAAATGGAACAAACAAAAGCTACACTAACAGATGTAATGAAGTAACAAATAGTCATTTAAAGCTAATACTCACCACTCCCAGAATATAATAATTAAAGAAGTAGTCATTACATTTGGACGGGACTTGCTTGTGAGGGGAGGGTGAATGGATCTTCATCTGAGACGTAAAAAAAGGAAAAGATATGTCAGGACAAACCGAGTGAATGGGAAGAGGGAATGGCGTGGTTTATTATTTATGAGCAAAGAATGTATCTTTGCTCATCTTGAGATTAATGTACTGTGTGTTGAGTATAAATTGGATCAGTCATCATTACCTTGTCCTCTGACTTGTAGAAGACCTTATGTGGGGAGCCAAGAGCACTCAAAACATCCTGACAAGAATCTCCAAAGTAGATGTTTCTCTCAACAGCCCGCACTTTCGTATCAGCCAACACTCCCGGGCCACATCCTGAGAAAGTGAGGTAACACATACAATGTGACAAAGCAGCGTTCCAAACAGCATATTTGTTTTCCAATTCAATTTCCATTAACACTGGATCACTGGATATCACTTATAAACTGGATTATGGCACCAAGATTTTACTTTGAACATCAAGTGGTGACCCAACGCAGTAGCAAAATTGATTCTGAAAAAAAAAAAAAAAACCCACACTGCCATTATTTTTTAATCCTATTCTCACCAAGACTGCACTCATTTATTTAATAATTTGAAATATTATTACATCCTGTGATGGCAAAGTTGAATTTTCAGCTGCCATTACTCCAGTTACATCATGTTCCTTCATACATTTTGTTCCTTCATAATATGCTGATCTGGTCCTCAAGAAATATTTCTTATGAAGTTGAAAATTATTAAAAATATATTTTAAATGCCTTACTGTGAATTTTGATCAGTTTAATGCATATTTGAATGTATTAAAAAAGATCATTTTTTAAAATTTGTTATGCTACATTTTTTTAATCCTGAGCTTGTTTTAATATTATTTATTAACTGTAAAATAATTAAAAAAAAACTATCCTACAGATACAAAACTTGGTTTGTGTTATAGGCACAATGCTCTGAAAGAGTCTGAGAAGTTTTGGACCAGCGCCACCTAGTGGTAAGTGTTTTGCTATCCTTACAAATTCATGATTACATAGTTGCAGTTTATGGTTAGCATTTATTTTTTATTTTTTTGCTGTCTGTGACCCCATAAGACCCATCAGACTTGGAAACCAAGTCTGACTGTTCACAAGCCTCAAGTTTTGGGTAAGGACCCTTCAGCTGTGAACCACTGGACTATTATTAGTAGTTAAAGTCACAGTACTGATTACCAGGAAAATGACTAAAGAATGGATAATAGTAGCTATATAAACATATTTGTTAAGATCAATACATATATGTTTTTTCCAGCTCTGCTTTATGCTAAAGTGATTAAATAAACCTATGTTGTCTGTTTTATGTTAGTGATGACTAATAATTTTGTTTATTTATCTAAAGCACACATTACTAATGCTGGTTTTCTAAGCACAGCATAACTTAGGAAATAACATGTCTTGACATGCCTTTAAACACAGGAAAGTGTTTTTTTTTGTTAATGGCATATTATGATAGCCTGGCTGCGCCCTCCTACGCACTTCCGCTCAATTTCATTTTACTTCTGTACTATGTGGAAATGAAATGAACTAGAGTCTGGTTGAACCAGGCTAATATTATGAATTAAAACACAGAAATTTGAATGGAATCAAGAATGATCAAAATATGGTATTCTACAAGATATATTGTTTTCTAGTGGCTACAAAGTACAGGATGAGGGCAATGATATGAGCTGGTGATGAAAAGTTTCCTTTGAGACATCTAAAAAAAAAATCTCAGCATTCTGGGAGTTTGTGAGAAAATGAAACTTCTATAAAAAGCTTATAATGAATGAATTTAGTCAAGTGCATATTTAATAGAAACAATGCATTATGATTTCTGACATTAGTGAATGAGTTTGGGTTGCTTGTAATACCTGCGGTGAGGAGACGAAGTTTGAGACCCATGGGTCCCGCCCCATCCCTCAGCACCTCCACACTCTCTGCATACACATTACCAAGGAAACAGGCCAGAGGCATCACCGGAGCCCTGCGAAGAAAAATATCATTTACAATAATCGCTGCTTGTGGAAATGCAACCCATGAGGTTTACCAAACGCTTAAATTGAACAAATCAAAACTAGATACCCAAGGTAACAGACTAAATGCAGATTAATGCTCCCCTCGGGCCACATCAACATTACAAATGGACATAATAAGATGATGACTTTGAAGGTCTGTTAATAAACACATCCATGCTCATTAGTGTTAGTGGTGGTATTTTTATACATTTTTATCCTCACACAAAGGCCTCAATTATCCAAACAAATGCACAAATCTTACTTGGTTTCTTGAAGGTTGTTTCCAGAGTAAATGTACATCCGTTTGACAGTGGCCCCATGGGGAATCTGCAGGGAGGCCAAGCCATGGGCAAAGTTAGGCTGTCAAAGCAAAACAGCTAGTAGTAGAATGCAGTGTCTCTGCAGGTGTCTCCCCAGGTAAAAAGATGCTCACATCATCATCACAGGATAAATCCATACATCAGGCTGGGTTTTTTTTTATTTATTTTTTTTATCATGAACTGAAACTAAAACTATTAAAACATTTTGTTCATTGAAATAAAGACCAATATAAATATACACTCAACTAAAAGATTATTAGGAACATTTGTTCAATTTCTCATTAATGCAATTATCTAATCAACCAATCGCATGGCAGTTGCTTCAGTTACGGGTGTGGTCCTGGTCAAGACAATCTCCTGAACTCCAAACTGAATGTCAGAATTTTGAGCGTGGCATGGTTGTTGGTGCCAGATGGGCCCGATTTCACAATCTGCTCAGTTACTGGGATTTTCACACACAACCATTTCTAGGGTTTACAAAGAATGGTGTGAAAAGGGAAAAAGAAAAACATCCAGTATGTGGCAGTCCTGTGGGCGAAAATGCCTTGTTGTTGATGGAGGTCAGAGGAGAATGGGCCGACTGATTCAAGCTGATAGAAGAGCAAATTTGACTGAAATAACCACTCGTTATAACCGAGGTACTGTGTGCAGCAAAGCATCTGAGAAGCCACAAAACGCACATCCTTGAGGCGGATGGGCTACAACAGCAGAAGACCCCACTGGGTACCACTCATCTCCACTACAAATAGGAAAAAGATGCTACAATTTGCAAGAGCTCGCCAAAATTGGACAGCTGAAGACTGGAAAAATGTTGCCTGGTCTGATGAGTCTCGATTTCTGTTTCTGTGAATTTGGCGTAAACAGAATGAAAACATGGATCCATCATGCCTTGTTACCACTGTGCAGGCTGGTGGTGGTGGTGTAATGGTGTGGGGGATGTTTTCTTGGCACACTTTAGGCCCCTTAGTGCCAATTGGGTATCGTTTAAATGCCACAGCCTACCTGAGCATTGTTTCTGACCATGTTCATCTCTTTATGGCCACCATGTACCCATCCTCTGATGGATACTTCCAGCAGGATAATGCATCATGTCACAAGCTCAAATCATTTCAAATTGGTTTCTTGAACATGTCAATGAGTTCACTGTACTAAAATGGCCCCCACAGTCACCAGATCTCAACCCAATAGAGCATCTTTGGGATGTGGTGGAACGGGAGCTTCGAACATTCTTCATTTCTAAAGAATGCTTTCAGCACCTTGTTGAATCAATGCCACATAGAATTAAGGCAGTCCTGAAGGCGAAAGGGGGTCAAATGCACTATTAGTATGCAGTTCCTAATAATCCTTTAGGTGAGTGTATAAATACATTACATTTAAAACTTAAAACGTTTTTATTTTGGCTTTATTTTAATGCAGAAAAATATTTTCATAGTTCTAGTCTCAATTCATGATAAAATAACCCCTGCCCGATGTATGAATTTATCCCAAATACGTTACTGTGAAGAAGATTTGAGCATCTAAGAACTAAAATTGAACTAAAACTAAATAAATAAAAATTAAACCACTTAAAATGTTACTAACATTTTAAACTAATTAAAAACTAATACAAATGTCAAAAGTAAAATGTAGAAAATAAAATGTAGACTTAAAACATAAAATTATCTAATTAAAAATATAAATACATTATGCAAATAAACTATAATAGCATATAAATAATACTGACATTGGTATAATTGGGTTACATGCAATAAGTGTTACTGTATTTATCTTATTTAAAGTACTTTATTAATAATAAAGTAATATTGCATTCATTAGGGGCCAAGCACTGAAAGTGCGTAGGTACCTCTTGAAATCGTTGGCGTTCTTATTATTCTTCCACTTCGTTTACCGTACATAAGTCTATGGCAGCCCATAAAACCGCTTGCGGGAAATTTATGAAATTTAGCTCACTGTTAGAGTGAGCTAAAAATCATAACTTCTGTCTGACAGTCTGAACAAATTCAGAGTCTCTAACTTAATCCCTCTAGTGCGACCAACTGTCCAAAATTTCACTCCATCATTAAAATCCTTCGGCCATTTTGAATTTTTTTTAAACCTACATTTTCGAACCCATCCTAGACAGTTGCTCCGATTTTCACGAAATTTTAACCAGATCATCTTCGGACCATGCCGACAAAAAGTTATGGAATTCAAGTTGATTCGTCAAACAGTTTTTGAATACCGTGCAAACTAATTTTAAACAGACGTAAGGCTATTCAGACCAACACTTGGTACGTCTAATAACAAGCATGACTTGAGGCTACATGCTGCGTTTCGGCACACCGCCACCTACTGGTCTGGAGATACAAAAAATTACTATTTTTGGTTAGAACTTCCGAACGGTTTGTCCAAAAATCATAAAAGTGGTCTTGTTAGATTCAGGGCGTCATGCAGAGTCGATCCAATTTTTCCATATTGGCCATTTTGAATTTTGTACTAAAATGCTGTATTTTATGTACGCATGAATGTATAGTTACAAAACTTGGTATCGGTTATTGGCACGATGCTCTGAAAAAGTCTGAGGAGTTTTAAACCAGCGCCACCCAGTGGTGAAACAATAATATTTACATGCTCATAACTTTGGATTTGGTTGACTTATTTTCATGGGAATCATCTCCTTAAATTCTTGAATCCTCGCCACTGAGCAAATACTAAACAGAAGGGAGAATAAACACTTAAAAAAATGGAAAATATCATCCTTATTCAGATATATACCAATACCATGCTCCTTAGGATATGTACAATGGTAATACCATAGGATTCTTTGAAGCTCCATCTAAATGGTATCCTTCAGAACCATGGTATTCCATCTAATGGTAATACAACAGAAGTTTTTTTAAGAGCATGAACAACACAGGGAGGGAACACAGTCTCACCTCATATTTAGGAGCTTCACTCCAGGAGTCCAGCTGAAAGGAGAAGGAAAGCCCTCGGAAGTTCAGGTGGAAGAGCTGCTCGGCAGCATTGTAGACTGGAAAGAGAGAACATGAATCCCCCAGCAATCATAAACACATACAAACACAGCAATGAGGGGTCTGGACAAATAACTGAAGCTGACAATAAATCTCACCTCCTGGATGAGTAGCGCCAAAGGACTGATCAATCTGCTCAATAGTAGGTGCTATTGCCTGAGAGTTAAAATGTACTCCACTGTAATGAACAGAGAAAATGGTCATTTTACATTTCTCTGGCTGACACAGTTGTTAGCGGTAGATGTTAGTATATCAGCATCTACAACATCTAGAAAAAGAGTAAAAGACAAAATGTAATCCTCAACTACTGTGGCAAAACATAAGATCACTTACCAGTATTTCAGTTTCACTTTGCTCAAATCGTACACTTCAATGACCTGAAAAACGATGGAGATGTATTTGCAACATAATGTAACGGGTGTAAGAAATAAACCATGCGTGTGCACTGCACACACAGATGTTGTCTCTCACTTTCAGTCTCTGATTGCAGGCGTCAAACAGCAGTTTAATTCCATCCTGAGTCAAGTTGAGAATGAGGTCATGGCTGAGTGGCATCTGTTTGAGGAAGAGAAATAGGTCAGATAAGGATACAAAAAAATCTGTATTTAACTTCAGTACACATAGACATTTATAGAAAATAATAGTAATAGCACATCCTACTTACTTGTTCGCTGTAGAGCACCTGGACATTTTTTATGATTCTGCAGTGTTTCTGTAATATGGAAATGGCCTGGGCCAATGGCATCCCTGGAAAAAATCAAGACAATCAAACAGATTGTCAGGTTTCGGTTCACATGATGCTAAAAGAAGAGAGTCAACAGCTCTAGTAGCTCCAGTACTAAAACTATAATAATATCATATGGTATTTAAGAAATAGAATATGTAAGAAAATAAATTGTTACTGTTTATAATAATTTATGACACAGCTTTTTGAAATAGTGGACATTTTTAATGGACAAAAAACAACACAACACCTAGTACATCCAAATATTACTAAAATTGAACATTAAGAGTCCATTCACACTAAAAACGATAAATATAACCATGAAGTAGCTACAAGTTTGAACAAAAATATATCCTCTCACTCTAAAAGAATAGTGGATTCTACACCAAAACCATGACAATAATGACACAAAGGAACAATTTTGTTAGAATAACTTTTGAGAGCGATTTTCCCCCAGCTGATAAACAATAAAATTGATAGCCAATCAAAATTATTTCTATTTTAAATTAAGCATGAAACGGAAGTTGGGAACTTTTCTTGCTTATTGAAAAAAAAAAAGGTAGTACGGAACTTGATTGGATCATTGGGGTTTGCTATAGAGTACAACAGGCAGGATCCGGAAGTAAAAACTCCATTCATCACTCTATCTGAACAGTGGAATTTGTGGTGAAGAACTACATTACCCACCATTATGCTGTACAGGAAATTCCACCATTCAGCAAGTAGAATTAGACGGATAGTTCACTTTTAAATATTTTTTTTATATGCTTTAGCTTACCTCAAGGGCATCCAAGATGCAGGTGTCTTTGTTTCCACAGTATTCAATTTTGATATTTTTAGGTCAAAAAGTTCTTGTCTGTCAGTCATATAATGGAGGTTTATGGGGTTCAACTCAAAGAACATGCATAGGCCACATTGATGCGGTTTGTGTGAGAAAACGAGCAGTACTTATATAGTTTTTACCTCTTGTAATCACATTCCAGTCCAAGTACTCTGAAGGCGCCAGCACACGCCGGAAGTGATCTCTCGCGTCTGTACGTCACTCATTGTTTACACAGAGATTTCAGAAGTGTTATCCTTCACCATGAAGATCTAAACATATTTAGATATACAGGAAATTGCAATGGAAGACGATTTCAATATATCAACAAACAATGTTGATTTTTTTTCACAACCATGCAAGAGATCACTTCCGGCACTTGCGCAGAACAAAGCACCCATGCCTTCAGATCACTTCGATGTGGCTGTGATTACAAGAGGTAAAAACGATATGAATACAGTTCGTTTTCTCACACAAACCACTTATTTCGTGTCTTAGGCCATCAATGTGTACTTATATTTACGAGTCATTAAATCATGTTTAATTTGGACTTCTCTGTGCATGCTCTTTGAGGTGAACCCAGGGTGGACCCCATAAATCTCCATTAAATGACTGACAGACAAGAACGGTTTGACCTAAAAATATAAAAATTGAAAATACTGGGGAAACAAAGACACCTACATCTTGGATGCCCTTGAGGTAAGCAAAAACATATCAAATTAATTTCAAAGTGAACTATCCCTTTAATAGGGGGAAAACACACACTTCCTAACACTCTATTGCTGTGATCTCATGTGAGTGACAGGCCCAGTAAAAACGTCATCAGAGAAGATGCATGAGGGAGGGGTTTTTATTTTGGAATGATAAGATAAGATCATTATCAATATCATTAGCCAGCAGCACCAGCGAAAAATCTAAAAGGACAAATAATTCACTCAGTGTAACAGAGACCTTTTTCAGGCCAAGAGAACCTCGGATGTGTGAACGTGTCAAAAAGCATGTGGTGCAAATATGAAATCCAGATGGCAACTGACTACAGTCATATAAAACAGCTTATTTTAAAATAGTAAACATTCTGTCAATAACAAATACATTTTTGTGCAACATGCAATGTTACTTCAGATTTTGAACATATTCCACACACTCACCTAATGCGAATTCCCATTGTTCATTTCCCAAAGATCGCTCAGGAACGACCTCCAGATCCAGCATTGGCGGGGAGAAATTGGGGATATCAACGAGGATCTCTGACTGTGCCAGATCTGAATCTTCCTTCTCAACAAATCTTGAATAATCCACCGTTAAATCAACAAGTCCAAATTTAACGAAGTAGTAAGTTTAAAAAGCTCCCACACACTTTAAACACAGTTTGAGTGACACACGACACCCTGACGTCAGATATGTCAAAACACAAGTGATGCAATCGAGCTATCAACGCGTTCCACTGTCACCATACTTATAAATAACACTGTAAAACGAATAACAGATACACACATATAAAAAGGTCAAAATGACTTAAGCTTAAATAAATTAGACAAGTAAACTGTATGTCAGTCACAACGAGCTGATGTCACGTAACTTAGGAACAATTGGTTACAGGTTGCTACTTTTTTATCAACTTTCTTAAGCATGAATTAATTCAAGGCGTTAATTATCTTATATTTCACATAAACGGAATTAAAGTAACGTTATTTATAAAACTGCCGTCAGTTGTAAAAAAAAAAAACACACTGTGATCTGACCTTTGACTTACTCCTGAATCACATTAAACTCGTACGCTGCTATTGATTACAGCGAACGAAAGCCGTTTCGTGTCCAAACAGTTACATTACATGCATTTAAGCTTTTTATGACCGGTCTATATGACTCGAGACACATACATCGGACTATCAGTGACTCGTTCGAGCTTCGCCTGACGTTGTTTTCTTTCTTTCCGATGATTCAACAGCAAGCAAACAGATCATCACTTATGACCACCATCTGTTCATAATAACACGGATTTCTCCGCGTTCGGCCGTTTCGGTTGTTGGAGGCGCCGCACTGTTACATGCAGCTTTATTTTCCGGTGTCTTTGACGTTTAAGATTGCCTTAAGATGATAAAGAAAGAGCTCCTCCGTGCCAAAAACAACTTCCATCCAAAACACCATGATCAGCTGATTATTCAACTTCCGGTGCGAACGACATAGCACTTCCTGGCGGTGATCTCCAAAATAAAAGTCAAATAGCACAGTTGACGAATCACTGGTTGAAGTGAAGAAAATAATGATGAGAAAATAATTATTTTAATTGTAAAATACAACTTATTGTCCACTACAAATATCTATAAATAAATAAATAAATTAATAAGTATATCAAATTATCTAGGCCTTTACCGTGTCTGTACTGTAGTCTACTGTTGAAAGATAAGGAGTTGGTGTTATGGGCAGGGGCAAATGGTGGGCAGGGGCAAATGGATCTCTTTACTTTCTTCTTGTTAATCCCAGACAGCTAAATCCGTTAAACTGAGAATAATTATGTTAAAAAAGCCACCAGATGGCGTCATTTATTGAGTGCTTGCATTAGTAGGCCTACAAGTAATGAGAGGTAAACGGTTCAATTAAGCATACCTTCTGTGTTTTATTATTTAATCTCAAAAGCATGGCTCAAAAATGTTCAAATGATATGTTTACCTGGTGTCTGACTATTTTGCTCTGATTGAGTTTACATGTGTCTGTGTTTTCTGTGAGCAGGCTACTCAGTTCGGTTTTACAAAAACCTTGTGTCCAAAAAAAAAAAAAAAAAAAGAAAAGAAACATATTGGGCAGGGCATTTGCATGAAAATAGAATATAATAATGAAATAGCCTATAGCATATAATAGAATAGAACACAACAGAATAATAGCAGCATTTAGAAGCGGAAGAGGTCTTATTTTGTGTGTTGATCTGAAAATGTATACAATATAATCAATGTTGGATAAAAATCGTTATATAGCCTACGTTTAAGATCCAGATGCACCTCCTTGTGTTGGTCACATGCGATACAGTGTTCTTTCATGATAGTTTGTAAATGTAACAAACTATTGTTTGTTTATTATAAGGAACATGATTTTGTGTGTCTAAGCAAACCCCATTTAACCCCCTTTTGTCCCATTGGGCCTTTTCCTGTAATTAGGTAGCTTTGTAAGTAGCTTTGGATAAAAAGGCAAACAACAACTGTCCAAACAGAATGAAAGAAACATACAACTCATATCCAATATTCACATTTGACATAAATTGATCGAAAAGACAGAACGAGACACTGTGAATGATTTGCAAAGCTCTGTGAATAATTTGATTTTCTCTGCACCAATAGTCCAGATCAAAACTCCAATTACATTGTTTGTGGAAACATTGTTGGCCATGATTTTATTTATTGTGTTTGGTAACAAACCTTGCCAGTCTGTTTCACAGGGGTTTTTGTTTGTTTTTATCCTTCAGATGGGAACATGATGAATAAAACAAAAAGTAAGGAATTTTAACACATGTTGCTAACGGTTAAAAATAACAGAAAAAATCTGTGTCTATACTTATACAAACAATCTAAAACCACATTTCTCTCCTTGTTTTGAGTCTAGAAGACAGATTCGCTGATTAAAAATTCATGTTGAATGAAAAGACCTGGAATAAAATGTTTTAGGAAAGTTCAATAATGATGCAATATTTAGTATATGAAAACAAAGGCAATTCATATACTGCAATACCTTTTATGAAACACAAAAATATTTTCTCTAATAATTTTAGACATGTTAGACATGCTCAAAGAAAATGGTCTGATAGATTAATCAACCTCTATACAGCAAGCAAGAAGCAACATTATCGGAGTGGCGTGCTGTCGGTGTGTCTGGATTTTTAGTCTAAAACTTTATGAATCACCATCTTTAGAGGGATAGTACAAACTCAGGAAAAACTTTTAAGTTTATCCACAAAAACCTCCAAACGCATAATGTAATCACAGGCCAGCTGTGTGCACTTGTAAAGTTGTTATAATCCCTCTCTGTCCTATAAACAGGAAAATACATAATATAAAGCATCATGCGTGCATCCACAAATAATACAGTTTCTCCTAACGTCCAGCCAAGTTTTCCTTTTTTGGATATCACTGCTCTTTTATCTATATTGTTAGCAAACTGATGAAATCTTTATATGATAGTAAAGAAGCTAGTAAAAATGGTTTTGTACTAGCAGCTAGCCAGACTATTACGAAAATTCAGTGAGGATATTACAAGTATTACATAACGTAATTGTCATTAAATTATTATAACACCTAAAATCTTTTTAGTTTTAGTCACTGATAACAGCACAGGTGGTTGGCAGACCACATGATGTTTAAAGTTCAAAGAAACAAAACATGATCAAGGCCAGACACACAGAAGAACTTTTGAATTAAATTTAAAAAAATTAGATGATTTGTGTAGGGAATAGGAATATTCCTCATGACTCCTTTATTCCCTTTTTATCCAAAGCAATTCTTAGTAGCACACTTTCGATGATCCAATTTAGAAAAAATCTAAAAGATATTGCCCTTTGTACTTTCTAAATTAATTTATACTTTTTACTAAAACAATATTTTATGTATTGTCTTTTACTAGGCTATAATATATGGTAAACAAAGTTTTGCCATCAAAATTGCAAACAGTGTTACCAAACAAACATCCACTGTTTAACTTTATAATTACAGATTCATCTTAAACAAAAATGTATACATTTTGGGTAACACTTATGATTAGAGTCCAATTGTGACTATTAAGTAGTTGTGCGTACATATTTCTAGGATATTGGCTGTTTATTAATACTTATAAAGCATATAAATGCCTTATTATGCTTTATCTCCTTACTCATTTTAGTTAGTTATTAGCAGGAATTGAACCCTAATCTAAAGTGTGACCAAAAAGGTTATTTAGGTGATATTTTATATACATATTTATACATATAATATATTACAATAATAAGGTCACATAGTTAATGCATTAGCAACTAACAACGAGCTCAAAAAATTGTATTAACCTTTGTTCATGTTAGTTCATAGTGCATTAGCTGATGTTAACATACACAACTTTTGATTTTAAAAACGCATTAGTAAATGTTGAGATTGACATTAACAAACGCTGTTGAAATTTTGTTCATTGTTAGTTCAAACTATAATCTCAACAAATGAAACCTTTTCGTTAAGTGTTACCGTCATTTTATTATACATAGCCAGCTTTGTTTTCTTTTCTAGCAACCCAAAGCAACTCCCCAAAAGAGCTCTGTCATGTTTGCTTGTTCTCTCTGTGCGAGCAACTTTCAGCGTTAAGGGTGGACGTGATATTTCAAACATCAGATCAGTGCGTTTATGTATTGGGTGCCCGGAAATTTTTCCAAATAAACACAGCTTGATTCAACTTGGGTGGGCAGACTTATCAACAGACTAATTCTATAAACAAATGAAGGAATAACCGAGCACACCATTGGCTGGTAGGAAGGGGACACGCGGAGAGAGCGAGAGAGAGAGACACACGAGGCTTTCTGCAATGAAAATTTAATTAATGTGGGTGGGCTGAGGGAACACAACGAGTGTTTATCATAGACAATTTATTTTCCAGCGCTAAGTCAACATAAAACAGAAAAAAAGGACAACAATTATTTAACATTTAGACTCATGAAGCGGACACACCGGTGGCGAGCTCCCCAGACTGAAAGTGTCCTCCGAAGTCATGAGTTTATACCACAGCCCAGTGCCGCAGCCCGGCGTGGCTGCATCGGCTCTCAGTCTATCGAATTCCTCCCTAATCTATGTTTACGGTGGCGAAGTTGGAGGCATCATTCCCGCTTTGGGATTCGCGTCCAGTCGACAGGAGCCTCCACAGAAACCTCCCTACAGCTACATCGCGCTCATCGCCATGGCAATTAAGAACGCGCCGGACAAGCGCGCGACGCTGAGCGGGATCTATCAGTTCATCATGGACCGCTTCCCCTATTACCATGACAACAAGCAGGGCTGGCAGAACTCTATCCGCCACAACCTCTCGCTGAACGACTGCTTTATTAAAGTGCCCAGGGAAAAGGGGCGACCAGGGAAGGGGAGCTACTGGACGCTGGACACCAAATGTCTGGACATGTTCGAGAACGGAAACTACAGGCGGCGAAAGAGAAAGTGCAGGGGTCAGGAGACGGTTGAGACTAAAGTCGCTCTCAAGAGAACACGAGCAACGACTTCCAAACTTCACCACGGTACCCATGTGGAGAAAGCGTCAGATTTAAGCAAACAGCAACACGAAAAACATCCTGAAACCGATATAAACGTGCACGAGAAGTTTAACGGCACCCAACCACAGAATAGGGAGGCAAACGTGGGCGCACACGCCTCCGACTCCACGAGAGACTGGTGTTTGGCACCCTCGACCACAGTGGGATGCCCGACGTATGAACAGACCAGCACAGTGTCTCTTAACACCCAAACTCGAACAAACACACCGAGTTTAAGCGCGCAAGAGACGCTTGAACCCCTGAAGAATGACATTGGAAGCGCGCAAAACGGAGACGCCAAATTCAAAGTAATAAATGCGCAGACGCAACCTCGAAAAAACACAGACAAGTCGAAGGAGTTTAGCATTGACAGTATTCTGTCGAAAAAGGAGAGCCAGTTCCAGCGGAGGTGCGGGGATTCTGGAGGAGTGCCTGTTGAGTGTGTGGAGTCGCTCGGTTACGCGCTCACGTCCTCGCTGATCGCACACGCGCATCCACAGCTGTACCCGCACGGATTCCCGCTCTGCTCCTACCTGTCTCTCACCTGTCCTGACAAAACTCTGAACTTCAGAGAGAAAACAGGCGAGAAATTATTCTTTTGACGACCCTTTTATGGCTTCACGTATCACAGACAGTCTGGCAAATAGTTTTATGTCAAAAAACATTCAATGAATTCAGTCTCATAAACATTCTTATTTTCTTTTTATTATTATGAATTGCAAACTAAACGCTTTAAAACATATATCGAGAATTCAGGAGGATAATGTTATTATTGTTTCTTCTACTACTATAATTGTTGTTGTTGTTGTCGTTATGGGATTCAACATGGGTGGCCTGTAAGGCCAATCTACAGAATCTATACAGTACACATACTAACAGTAGTTCATTCTATGATGTGTATACAATGATCAAGAACGCACCCATTGCAAATCATCCAAAATACAGATGTCTTTGTAATGTTATTGTTTATATGAACAAGAGTTTTATATGTTCCTCTGTGCTTATGACAGATACTTGACAAATTGCTTTGGGCTGTTGTTCTTGTCCTCTCCTCTATAGATACACACAAACTAAAACTTGATTTACTGCTTAAAGACACATTTATGGAAAGAAAATGAAATTATTTGGTTGTACCTTGGACTTTCAAAGAGAGATATTGAGTTAAACAGAGAACTCAATTCTTCAAATAAACAATGAGTATGAGTAAAACTTTGTTGAAATGAATGCCTTGAATTTCCAACACAACACTGACACCGAAACTGATATATATATATATATATATATATATATATATATATGGACTACTTGTTGTCCCAGGACTATGCATAATCCTGAACTGTGAAACTACCACATGTATTCCTTGCCACCATATATAGCCATAAGTGGTTTTTGAACTGAAAGGTTTAAGCCTCACTGAGTGCAAATCAGGAATGCTTGTGGAAATAAATAAGCTTCCCCACATTCGAGCAGAGGAACTCACATCCACAAGCATTTCCTGTGTATAGGATTCTTTTGGTCAGAAGTGTAAATAGAGCGTCATCCATCTGATGGTTTGTAGAGAGAAAGAGACTGCATCTCTCAATCTGCTGCCTCCATCTGTCCTCCTCTTCACAGATGGGCTCCTTAGATGGAGCAGTCTGCAAGGGTTCTGCTGGACCGCAGCCCCATGATCATAACGGATCTCTAAGGTGATCTTTATGAGTGTTATTTCATATTCAGAGGAATTTCATCATGACATCATTTCCTATATACCTCATAGGATATTAAGTGAATTATTCAACCATGAATTTTAAAGCTGCAGTCCGTAGCGTTTTTGGGTTAAAAATGATCCAAAACACATATTTGAGAAAATACATAACCAGCCAGTGTTCAAAACTATCTGCTTGCCGTAGCTCGATTCAAAGCGGTAAGCTTGTAATAATATTTTGAATTCCAGTGGTACTGGTGGATTTCCGCGGGAGATTCGAGCATGTCTTTGCGTCATTACGTCACATCTGTACAGATAAAGAAGGAGTCTCGGCTATAAGCTGTATTGCGTGTGAGGATGCTGGAGGTGGAGATTTATTCTCACAGCACTTGATGTAATTAAACTTATCAATTTCAAAGGTTCAAACGACAATCACCAGTGACAACTATAGATTTGCACGCTTTAAAATGCAAAAGACTTCATTCAGACTTCGGAGTGGCTACAGAAAAAAAGAGACTGCAACCGGACCCATGCGAAAACAAGGATACATATCAGAAGGATATTAACACTACATGTAGTCATGCATTGTTGACGTTTTTAACATTAACAATTTGAGAACAAAGCCTAATTTACATGGTTTAGCGTGATATGATAACTTATAAGCGAAAGCGATTGATTTAATCAGAGCGGTTTACTGCAATGTCAGGACCAGAACAAAGGTGTAGCCTGTTTCTTACTAGTGTAGATCACATGTTCCGGTGAAAATTATTGTGTTGGTCATACTTCCAAAAAGAATAATCTGTGATTCTGAATGCCAGTATCCACACCGGAGCGGTGACTGACCGCCTCACAGTCTCCTCAAACATTGTGTTCATCTGCGCTGTGCCATGTCGATGGTGTTGAAGTACAACTCACGTAAAGTTGATAATACCGCGAATGACTGCAATTGCAGATTTCGAACAGAGATGGCGACAAAGAGAAAAAAAACGCTGTACTGTAGCTTTAAGAATGTGCCGAAGTTACCATGTCACTCTGTAGGCCAAGTTAGCACTTTAGCACTCCCGGTTCCCTCGCTCTAAAGTCTATGGGATATTTTGAATGGGTTTTTACTAAATTGCCTGAAATAAGGTCTGTGGTGAACAAAGCCTCACAATATGATCTATGACATAGAACAGTGTTTTTTTTAAACTTTATTGTGTCTGCTTGTGTTTTTTAAAAACTTTATATAAGCTTCAAAATGTATAAATTTTTGATTAACTTGTAAAGATTATGTTGATAGACAAAATGTTGTGGGTCACAACTCTTTGTTAAATAAAACACTGATCTTATTTTTGTTTGCGATTTTCCAAAAGTCTATGGGGAAAATTTTCGATCGAGGAACCCATGAGCCGCTTTTTTTAATTTTAGTTTTTTATTTTTTTACCTATGAGCCGCTAGCTTCCGAGTTGTCCTACAAAGTGACGTCATGACTTCGGCACTCTATTGCATTAAACCCAAATAAGTGGAATAACTGAATGTATAATTAGCTATTTTTGATGTTGAAATTCTCACACTATAAGCACTATATGTGCAATGAATGCATACAAAAGTAAATATCTGATTGTCTCTTTACATTGCTAGATAATTATGCCCTCTAGTGTTATAATATTACAATTTCAACCTCAGTTACCACACAAAGATGGTAAAGTTACCAGTCTTGTTTTATAAAAACATTTTCATTTTCATCTCTGCAAAAATCCAGTGATGTAATACAGATGGACTGCTAAATGTCTAACTGCTGGATATTTGGCTAGACTGGTATTTTCTAAGATCTTGTGGTAACCACAAAAACAGTATCACAGAAGGCAAATGTTGTCTCGAAAGCTTAAAGCTGATGGACCACAGAGCTGGATGTGAATTTTTAATGACAACATTCTCAGTTTGTGTTCGGTCTGTCTCAAGCATTATATTAAAATAAACATGAGAAGAAAGATTATCTTCCTAGTGTTTAAAGTGTAAAAGTTTCACACTCATTTTCATTTATTTTGACTGGAAATAGAGCACACTTTCTATGGCCGTAACCACAAGAGTTTTACTGTGAGAGATGCCATTGACTATAAAGCTGTATTTGATATTTTGATAATTTGATATTTCAAAGTAAAAAAAACCCCAAAATTTCTGTCACACAAACATATTATTTGAATGAATTAAAGTCAAAAATCTAAACTGATTCAGATCCACAAACAGTTGATTCAGACCACAAGTTAAATGATAATGACACACTGAATTGCAATGATTTTTAAGAGTTTTTTTTTATTATTATTGTAAACATTATATCAGACATTATGTATTTTGGTGTTTATTGTGCCATTGATACGTCAGTATACAGTGTATATATATATATATATATATATATATATATATATATATGATTGTGCCTTTAGAATTGTAGTAATGTTGATAGTTTTACACCTAAATGTGACATTATATTAGCCATGTGCAAAAGGTCCCAAAATTGGTGAGGTGCTGGATATTAATGCAATAACATGTCTACAAATATCACTTCAATTGTCAGCTGTTTACTGTAAAATGCCATTACCACCCCCCAAATGACAAATTTTGATAAATAAAGGGTAAAATGAGATGCATTTATTTATTTAATCATTCATTAGTCCATTTATTCATTTTCTTTTATTTTTACCACAAACCATTAGAGCCCAGAGGTCTATCGGCCATGGTTCTAAACATGGATCTCCTCAAATGACTGAACTGACAAGGCCTGATATATCAGCAAGGGGTCAAATCAAGAATGAGAGAAAGAAGCTACACTGCAGAAGCGTCATCTCCCTTGTTTCATGTGCAATCACGTCTCCAAGCAGCACTAAATCAAACCATTTCAAGCCGCCGGCATCAAAAGAGTTTAATCTGTGTGTATATTATATATTTTCACTCCTAGCGTAAACCAAACTCAGTTGTCCAAATATGCTCTCAACGCTGAAGGAGGGGTGGGGCTCTGATGAAGATAGATGGTCTCTCTGGGAGGAACATTAGCTGCTAATCAAGTTTTGTTTCCTGGAGCTCAGTTTTATACATCGCTATTTGCATGCGAAGAGCACAAGATCCATGTTTTCTATCAAGCTTGCTTAAACGCACCCGGTTGAAATCAGCGCTGTACCTCCCGATAGCAATAGGAGCAAACTAATCACTATTTAATTAGAAAAAACAGACATTTTCTCTTAGCCAATTTAAAAGCAATATAAGTTGACCTAAATTACTGCAAAATTCAAGAAAATAAATGTGAACAAATAAATAATAGCCCAATAATAACATTTACTATTATTCTTTAAAATTAATACAGCAACATAATGTCAATTTAAGTCACCTTTAATTTATGTAGCGATTTATGCAATACACAGATTATGTCAAAGCAACTTTACAGTTATAAACAGGTAAATAATGATTCAGTGATGCAAACAGAGTTCAATTATGCTGTAAAGCTGCTCAAAATGTAAAAAATGATTGTAATTTTAACGGTAAAAGACTGTGAAAAGTGAAAAACTGTTAATTGGCTAACAGAACCTTTCCTTACAATATATGGTAAATAACTGTGACAGATCTAATGGTAAATTTCATGTAATTTTACTGTTAAATACCGTAAATTTTATAGTTTTTAAAAGTGAAAATGAACAACTCATTGTATAATTTACGGTGAAAAACAGTAAATTGACGTTCCCACAATTCTCTGTGTGACACTTCGCATTTGATGTATTTTTGAGTTCAATTATGCTGTAAAGCTGCTCAAAATGTAAAAAATGATTGTGATTTTAACGGTAAAAGACTGTGAAAAGTGAAAAACTGTTAATTGACTAACAGAACCTTTACTATATACGGTAAACAACTGTGATAGATCTAATGGTAAATTTCATGTAATTTTACTGTAAAATACCATAAATTTTGTAGTTTTTAAAAGTGAAAATGAACAACTCATTGTATAATTTACAGTGAAAAAACATAAATTGACAGAATTCCCTTCATGACACTTCGCATTTGATGTATTTTTGTTGAAATAACTTGTTTCTTCATAGTTTGTTTAGTCTTTTTCTAATCAGTTATGTACAATACATTAGGGTTGTATATTTAATGTTGTTAAATAATGTTTTTACAATAATGCTTCTATATATTAAGTCACTTGTGGAAAAGCTGTATATGACGAGCTTCCATATATCATGTGACTTTCATCTTTGCTGTGATTGTTGATAGTCAGTGCATTACAATGGTACAAAACAGATAATAATACCTCAATTTATTGATAATTTATCATTATATCAGATAATGAAATAGGGTTTATTACTAATTTTAAGTTAAGTCTGTAAAACTTTGCTACCGTATAGTCTTGCTACCGTATTTTATATGGTACATTTCTGGCAACCACAGCTGCCGGTATTATACCGTAAATTGAACACATTTTTTTTTACAGTAAAGTCAGTTCAGTGTTGATTCAGTTTGGTTCAATACCTATGAAATGAGCTAAATTCAG